AAAAAAAAAAAACACAAAATCATCTTTATTTTTTGCCCCTGGATTAGAAAGAACCCAACATGCTGGGTTTTGCTTGTTGGGTATTGCTTTTGGGTTCGACCAAACCCAGGCATGCTGGGTTCCATCGAACCTAGGCATCAATGCCCATTGGGTTCGATCGAACCCAAGCACCTATTGGGTTCAATCAAACCCAGCAAGTGTCGTTAGGTTCAACAGAACTTAGGCATGCTGGGTTCGATTGAACCCAACAGACGCACCTGGGTTCGGTCAAACCCAGCAAGCACTGTTGGGCTCAATGGAACCCAGATCTGGTGTTGAGGAAGGGGGAGAGAAAATGAAGGCTGTTGGGGGAAGAAGATGAACAACAACTAGGTTCAATGGAATCCAGATCTGGTGTTGGGGAAGGGAGAGAGAAAATGAAGGCTTCTAGGGTAAAAAATGAACAACTACTGGCTTCTATCAAACCCAGATTTGGTGTTGAGGAAAGGAGAGAGAAAATGAAACCTACTAGAGGAAGAAGATGAACCAAAGAGGCTGGAGATGAGAAGGAAGGGGTAACAAAAGGAGAAAGGAAAGAATTGATGTGTGGTTGAAGAAAAGGGTAAAAGAGTAATTTTAATTTTATAATTAGTTTAAAATATTTTAATTTTTAATTGGAAATTACGTGTCAAAGTTTAGTTGTCCTATGTGTCAAATTATTTTTACATGTCATCTTTTTTTGTCAAGTAACAAGACACGTAACTGAAAATTTAACAGAAGGACCAAGTTGAAGTTAAAATGGTAAACAGTAAAAATCAAATCAGGGATGTTTTGAGTTGAGGGATTAAATCGGAGGTCCGTACAATAGTTGAGGACCAAAATGGGGTTTTAACCTTTTTTTTTGGGGGTGGGTGGGGGAGGGGGATTAGAGGTTTTTTTTTTTTTTTTACTTAATTAACTAATAAAAAGGGGTGGGGTTAAGATAGTCAATTTTCAAAGGGATTTTTTAATTGAATCCTAATTATGATATTTTTAATTAATTTTGTATAAATTTTTATAGTAAATTTAATTAAAATAAAACGTAAAAATCAAATAAAATATAATATTTGTAATCAAATATGTGAAAATGTGTGAATTTAGTGTGAAAATGTATGAATTTAGTATGAAAATGTGTATAAAATTAATTATAAATACTTTAATTAATGAAACTTAACATTTACCCTAAAAACACAGATTAAACAAAGCCATTCTTAAATAATAGAATTCTCCTACATATACATTTTACACAAAATTATAGTCATTCGTGGATGAAAATTGAACTAATTTTAACTAATTCTAAAACTTAAAAATGTATAAGAGTGCATGTTTTACTATTTGGACGATACTAAACTATAAAGTAGAGGCTATTGAATAGGTAGAGAGTTCTCAATATCAAGGATTCTCCCTTTATCTAATAGTTATAATTGTATAGTTTGATATAGTTTAAACAATACAACTCCTTTTTCAATGTATAATTACATTTTATAAATTTTAATTAAACAAAATAAACTGTATAAAGTTATAAATCAAATTAAACACAATAATTTAGAATTAAAATCATGAAATTAAACTGAAAACTTTTTGGTGATACCAAACACATGGACTGTAAATTAAAAATGAATTTCTTACTCTTTTTTTCTTTTGTAAAATTTATTTAAACAAAACAGAGCATTAATTTTTATTGACTATTTCTAGTTTACTATTAAATTATTAATTATTATTATGTATATAGTTTAAAAAATGTCAATTGTTCTTCTGTAATTAAATTACTGATATCATGTCAGCTAATATGGTACCTGGGAAGAAAGTTCTAAATTTAGGGTTTGAATAATTGATAGAAAAAGTGACTCGGATTCTCTTTTAATTGGGTCTTAAGAGATGTATTAAGAAAGTAAATACTAGATTTAGTCTTAATTTTTAAGATAAATATTAAATATTGTCTAAATGAAAGATAATCTTTTTTTTTTTTTATCAGTGGAAAATTAGGAGAATGAGAAATAATTATAATATTACTGCATTGGCTGCTTGAACCCTTGACAAAGAAGTCAAGAACGTTGGTGCACTACCATCACAGCTAAGGCCGCAAGTGCAATGAAAAATAATCTTTAATCTTTATAAAATCATCAAACAAAATCCTATTTTAGTCACTTCCGCTAAGTTCTTAATTAAAAGCTTAGCTAAAATTTTCCCGAGCCACCAAACCCTTAAAAATAAATAA